TTAATTCATTTATTTAATTTCCGATAATTAAAATTTTGCTTCCGATCACTTGATTGAGGTGCTTGAGAACACCTTTAAATTAGAGTTTCTGCTTAAAAAAGTATTTAAAATTGGTTAGTAGTTAGAAAATATATATACATTAAAGCAGTGTTGTTATTTGGACCAGACTCAGACTCAGACCAGACTCGAACAACTAAGTTTGTTCGCTAGACAAATCTATGTGAGCAAGCAGGAGAAAATGTTGATGTTGCACACCAATTTTTTACCTAGTATGCAACACATAAAAAAATTATTTTACAATACCATATTATAATTATAATCTAACACCATTTTATTATAATAAAACAGGTATTGTATTATAATCATAATATGTACTAGCGAAAATATCTGGTATTGTAAAATAATTTTTTTATGTGTTGCACACCAGGTGAAAAATTAATTGCATAATATCCTGTTATATGAGCATATGAATTACTATAGACAATAGCGATAGTAATAAATAAAAATTCACCAAAGATAAAATTCACCACTACTAGTTATACAAATCGACAATATATAAGTATAATTTTTTATTTATTTGCATTTGAATTTCTTTTTATTAATTAGTTTTTTTTTTTTAATAGTGTCATCGTTGAAGTCATTATAGTTTGATGGCGTTTGCGCTCTGTGGTATAGCATCTAGTTGTTGGTGTCTTGGTTTTCACTAGTGTTGCTGTTTATTGGTGCTGTCGTTGTCATTATTTGTTGTTTAGTGCTGTTGTTTCAATTAGTGATATCTTCTAGGTATTTCACTTTGCTAGTGCCATTGTTTTGATTAGTGTCATTTTCAAAATTCTGTTTTTGCTAGTAATGAAACTATAGTATACCAGGTTAGAGGTTGGAACTGGATATATCAACCCGGTTTTAAACCTGGGTTCACCCGAATTGTTAATAAATCCAGATTTAAATTTGAAGAATATTCAACCCGGGTATATGAATAAGACTGGTTATATATATGAATTTGAACTGGGTATATAAATACAACTGGTTATATAAGCGATTATCAGTACTCAAATATTCATTCTTATACAACTTTACTACATAAAGTAAAATTTACCTTTTTTTTCACGTCTATATCAAGTTGCCAATTTAATGTAAAATTTATCAAATGTTATACATGGCATTGAAAGCCACCAGGAGACAAATTTAACAATATTATTCGACTTTTTTCCTTTCTTTATTAAAAAAAATTACTTTGTATGCAAAATTAATAATACTATACATATTAAACATTTGTTATTAACAACTTTTTAACTGAAGCAAACTTTATACCACATGACTAAAAGCAAGAAGCGTTAAAAAAAAAAAAAAACCTAAAAAAAAAAAGATAGAAAGTTCTTTATCAGAATCAGAGACTGTAAATACAATGAATACAAATAATGTTAGACAAAAAAAACAAAAAATTGGTTACTAAAAAAAAGTAATAGTTCAAAATAATTCTAGCTATACAACACCCTTTTTTCGAGTAGAAGAAAGTAATCCCGATACTGCATATTGTAAGATTTGTGAGGTTAACTTTGAAGGAATGGGTAAAGTTGCTCATGGTTATTGTCAAAAGGGTGGAAATACAACAAATCTTATAGCACATTTGCGGGATAAGCATTATATTACTAAGAAAAATTATTTTCAGTTTTTGGATGAAAATCAACAGGTAAAAATTTTATTTAAAGGTTTTATTTTATTATATTTATTAAAATTTAACTTGCTGTAATTTTTATATAAAGCCTTGTAGTGATTAACTTCAAATTACCAATTATATAAACATATCTACATCTTGCTCTTATAAATGGCAAGAAGAAATTACTAAAAAACTTGTAAAGTTTATTATTCAATACGTTCAACCTTTATATATACTTCAAGTTGATGCTTTCTGAAATCTTCTGTTGACTTGCAAACCAGGTTATAGAATTCCTTGCGATAAAACTGTTAAAGGAATACTTTATTTAGTATATGAATAGAGTAAAGAATAGCTTTATTTCTTATTAAGCAATAATATTACAAAAGTATATTTGACAACTAACCTTTGGACGGCAAAGTCTCGTTATGGTTATCTGGATATAACAGCAACCTGGTTAACTGCAGAATTTGAATTTAGAGAGGCCCTATTAATATGTAATCACCTTTCTTATTCTCATACTAGTGAGATTATTAGCGATAAATTATCAAAAATAATAGAAGATTGGGATTTGTCTTCAAAAGTTTCGTAGTAGCTACTGACAACATAATAAATATATTAAAAGAAACCAATCTGTTGAGTGATAAGTATAATAATAAAATTAAACACCAGTCTTGCACCGCACATACTTTGCAGCTCTCAGTATTGGAAGACTTAAAGCAATATAAGTCATTTCATTGCCAAATAAAAAGCTTGCAAGCTTTTTTTTGTTTACTAAAGCAAGTGCAAAGACTTCATACAATGCAACAAAGAAGTTCTCAACAAGACCACCAATTATCTGAAAATGAACACACAAACCCACTTGAAGTTTTAACAGATATAAAAACAAGGTGAAGTTCGACATATTATACATGGAAAAGAATTCTTGAGTTACATAATTATATGAGACTCATATACTGTATATAGATTTACTTTCAAAAAATGATCGAGTATCTAAAAAGAAAGGTGAAAAGTTGGAGCGTTTATGTTTAAATTTAGAAGAAAGAGAATTTCTTTAACAAATGATTAGTTTATTAGAACCAATTAAACATATAACATACAAAATATGTAGTGCAACATACCCAACTATAAATCTCATTAATCCATATATGGATTTGTTTAAGAATTTTTTTGCTCTATGTGAAGAAGCAAAAGAAACGTTTGATACTTATCTTGATTTAATATATGGCTCTGAATCTGCAAATAATAATAGAAATGATACTAATTCTGATAGTAATGATGAACATGTTCTATTGGGTGAATCAAGGCAATAGTGACAACATGCATATCATCAATTTAACCAAAAAATGAAGAAAGCATTGTAATATACAAAAACATTGTAAAAAAGACAAAAGTCAAATTTCTGATATAAACCTAGATAATATTAATATAGTTGAAGACTTATCATCCATAAATACTACTAGTATATTACAAAAAGTTCACACAGCAATCTTTTTGTCATTAGATAAATTATGATCAGTTCTATCTGATATTGCTCTTATTACAACATTTTTGGATCCTCGTTTTAAAGACTTTGAATAGTGTAATGGTAAGGGGAAAGCTGAAGCTAAATTGATGATTTAAGAGTTATATGATGATATAAATAGTGACTATCAGCCTACAAATATTGCTATATGAGATAACAATTTATTGTTATCAGATAATAATAGTGATAATGATATTTTTAAAGCGTTAGAAGGTGATAATAAAGAATTTATGAATGGAACAGAAGAGGAAGATGAAGTATCTCGCTATTTGCAAAAAAAAAAAAATAGAAGTAAAAGAAGATCTGTTAAAGTGGTGGTCAACTAATAAAACAAATTTTCCAACTCTTGCTCAAATTGCAAGAAAATACTTGTCAATCCCCGCAACTTCCGTTTCTAGTGAGCGATTATTCTTAGATGCAGATAACCATATCTCTGCTAAATGAACTCGGTTGTCTCCAGATTTAGTAAATAAAATGCTATTCTTAAAAAGAAATAGTAAGCATTTTAATACTATTTTTCTACTAGAAAAATAGGATTTTATAGAATTTAGAATCTAGTTTTTTTTTCCATTTTATAAATAAAGTTTAATTTGGTTCAAATTACGACCTTAATAGAATTTATTATAGTTTTAATCAGTTGATTGGTGGCACAGCCACAATGAGTAAATTTTTACGTAATGGTAATTAGCTTATATAATATATTTATAAAGATTATTTTTTATAAAATAAAATTGAATTTAATGAAATTATTGCGGTTCTCTATTTAATTTTTTTTATGATTATTAAATAATTGTGATTGCAATCATGATTGCTAAAGCCAATCAATTTATCATAAATCTGAGCTTGATACAAACTCAGATTCATAATAAATTAGCTGGCTTTAACAATCATAATCACATTAATTATAAAAAAATTAATCATAGGGATCACAAAATTATATAAATTGCATTATTAATTTGTAATTATTTTCTATTACGTAGAATCTACTAAAGTGAATTTTAAATATAGTAATTTTATTCTTAATCGTTCCAAATACTATTACTATATGTAGATAATACCTGCTTTATTATAATATGTAGACTAGTATTTATATTTGTGATACTTGGTTTGATATTAACCGGATTATATAATAAAACTAGTTATTGAATATTCGGTTGTATTTAAATACCTGAACTTTAAGTTAAATTTGGTTTTATTTTATAAACTGGATAACTGGTTGTGCATCAAATCCGGGTTTAACCCGGATTGATTTTTTTAAATATAGTTATAACTAGTTTTTATAAATAAAACCGGTTCCAAACTCTATACCAGGTAGGTGAAAAGTAGCTAAATAGTAACTTTTTTTAGTCACTATGATTCTTATTTTAATGTTTAATAATTATTGAATTTTAATTTATTGCAAGGACTACTAAACATTAATAATAATCATAGTGATTAAAAAAGGTCACTGTGCTATTACTTTTCACCCACCTGATATATTGATACCATTATTTAGTATTGTTGTATGTTGGTGTTGTGTTTCGCTCTAGCTAATTTCGTCGTTTGTTGATGTCGGCATATACTAGTATTTTATTTTTATTTGTGCTAGTTCCATCATTTTGTATTATTAGTTAACACTTTAGTGTTTTAATAGTAGGTTATTGAATATAGCTGGTGGTAGGTTTTCTTGGAGTAAACTGTGGTAGGTTTTTCATAGTACAACTACAATTAATTTAAGGTTAGGATTAGTGGTATGGTTAGGGTTAATGGTATGGATTAATAGTTAGAGTTAGTATTAAGATTCAAGTAGGATTTATTAATTGCATTTGTTACATTTTAGAAACACTGTTGGCTTAGACATTTTGTTACGCAATATAAATAAATTAATAAAAGTGGTTATTTAAAGATAATAAATGCTATATGCATCAATCCATAAAACTTTTAAAATTTTATCTTGAACTTCAAAGTTAAATACTGATTATTAATTTATTTTTGAAAAACAGCATATTTGGGAATATGACAAAATAAAATTCATATTACAAAACTTAAACATGTCTGAAAATATCTGTGTCTGAGTCCAAGATATATTACTCGGACATTGTCCGAATGACAATACATTCACACAGACAAAATTCAGACTCGGATATCAGACAATGTCCGAAAATATCCAGTCCGCTAAATTTACTTAGATATCCAAAAATGTACAACACTGTATTAAGGCATAGCTTTATATTAGAAATATACAATTGTTGTATTTGTTATATAATTTTTATCTAAACTTGGCAAAGGTTATAATAGTATACTTTTTTTTTTTATTTCAATCTTAGGTTGCTTATTATTTCTTAATAGAAATAGCTTTTCTCTTTGTCAGCTCTTTGGCTTTCTCTTTGTTTTTCTTTTTTTGCATTTTCTTGTTTTTTTTTTTTCTATAATTTTTCTCTTTTGTTTATTTTGTTTTTTTTAGATATAGTTCTTTTTTTTTTTTTTATTAATAGATAGTTTTGTATTGTTAGTATAAAATCATTACTTTTTTTTACTCTTGTAAAGAAAGAAAAATTAAAAGATTAGCTTTCGATAGCCTAACAAAGTTTATTCAAGTTGGTGTAACAAGTTACTAATAAACACATTTTATTGTAGTCATGAAATACTAAGCTTGCAATTTAGTAAAACTTGTTTAGTTTAGAAAGAAGTACTTGTATATTTAAAATGGTTTACTATTATTAATTAAATAAAGTTTTTGTATTTGAGCTTTGACAAGGCTATTAAAAAGCTAAAAAATAAAAAATAAAATAAATTTTAAATACTTTATACTATTTTCTTATTTTTCTAAAATCAAATAACTATTACTTTCAAACTTTACAAATTTATTAAATATACTATTTTTACAAAACCAGTATTTTTTTTCTTAATTTCAAATCAATTTAAACTGTTCTAAAGTACAACTTAAACCTACTTTTTGATATACTAAACTTTCAAAACTATAATCTTTATTTTTACACTATATATTAAAATATTATGAATATTTATTATTCTAATCTTTATATTACTTCTAACTGTATTGCCTATAAACAAAAAAAAAATATATTCATTATTATTAACTTTTTTTGATGATCACTTGTACCAAAATTTCAACTAACAAAAAACAAACCTTTTGTTAAAGAGACATGGCCTTATAGTGCAGTTTGTTTAGAGGTTAACTTTGGTTATTGAGGACTTCTCTAAAAGAACATTCAGTATACAAACCAGGAGCATTATTGTACAAGATAACTAGCAGGCAATACTCTTGTATGAAAAATCTTGGTGAAGAAAAAAAGTCTTAAAATAGGCTTCTACTTTATCAACAAAGCCCAAAGGCTGTTACTTTGAAAAAGAACACAGAGAAAACAACAAAAGCTTTGGATTTTAACACACTTCTTAGAAGTTTTGAAAGTATTTGCAATTAAAGACTTTCTACCATATTTTCACTATTTTGGAATTTTTTTTGAAATTTTGGCCAAAAAGTGAGAAAACAGTATACTCTCTTCAAAAGATTAGCAGTGTTTACTTCTTTTAAATTAGAACACAACTACTAAAATGAAATTTCCCAAAAGCTTATTTAAATTATACTTGCCAAATAAACAATGACGGTATATTAGAGGTCAGAGAGATCATATATAAAAATTTTTTAATGTTAGACGTTTTCTTTTATTTTCTTTTTCAATTCTTTTATTGTATATAGTGTTAAGTTAGATTTTATTCTATATAACATTATATAATTTATATAGCCTCGCAAGGCAAAAATAGTGCCATCATGGCTATCTTTTTTTCAGCCTTTTTCTTCTTTTCTCTTTTTTTTCTTTTGCTTGTTTTTTTTTGTTTTTATTTAGTTTAGTTTTCTCTCTTTTTTTTTATTTCTTTTATTTTGTAAATTTTCTATTGTTCTTTAATAGAATTCTTCTATCTAGAAGGCTAGAAGAAAAAGGTTAAGAAAGAAAGTGGTTATAATAGGCTAGTAAACCAGGTTGGTAAACCATAGCAGGTTGGCTTGATGTAGGTTAAATCAAACTTTAGCAGATCACACACAGGTGTATGAATATTTAGGTATTCTATATAGATAACTAGGTGAATTATATATTTATATCTTTAGATATATTCTTTTTTCTTTGGATTAAATTAATGATTAATAAAGTATAGGTATATATAGCATAATTACTTAAAAAAATATATATATTTATATTATGGGAATATAAATTTGTCACATGAAATCTATTAACTCTTTCCAACGATCACTTGAACTATATTTTCTGAAAACATTTTACTGCAAAAAGAGACCTTACAAGCCAGTACTTGACATACTAGATAGTAAGACAGCACCTGTCGTTTAGAAGTAGTTCTCATACGCTACTTGCCGACAGGCTCAGAGTTTATCACTCACTGCAAAGTCTTGGCACTTGTCATTTAGAGGTAGTTCTCATATGCTACTTGCCAACAAGTCTAGAGTTTATCACTTACCAAAAAAATGTTAAGCAGGTGTTGGGCGGTGGGTTTTAACTGTAGAAAAGAAAACTTACACTTCTTTAAATTGGTTAGAAGCTTAAGTGGTTCCTCTTTACCTCTCGTCATTTTTCTATCGGTCTCCAAAAATTTTTACAAAAAGTGGGGATTTGGCTTACCCCTTCCAAAAGATCGGCATTGTTTATTTACCAAATCCAGATGGACCAGTAGATAGCAACCACGTGTTTGGAGACGAATACGGTATATAGGCCCTGGAACAAGTCCTAGTCAAAAAAGGAATTCCTGGTGGCGGCACCAAGTGGCTTGAGATATGAGTACTCGAGTGATAGCGCCTTTACGGAAATGTCGTGATCATTGTCGTCGTTGGTGCTGTATATAGAGAGTCAAATCCTAGTATAGCGGCAGCACTTGGTTTAAAATATGGACTAGGTTATTAAAAAGATTCAGAAATGGGTCAGAGAGAATTTTATTGTTAAGTTTTGTCTTACAACAAAGATATACAGATGTTGCATCTGGTATAATTTTTAAATTACCTGGCATGGGTTATAATAGTGGAGTTTACCACAAAGTCTCGAAAATCATTTTTCCGAAAGAATATAATACCAACTAAATTGGCTAGTATTATAACTAATTCCGGCTAACTTTGTCGATATTGAGTCTTTTCGGAAATCTGTCTTTTGGGATTTTGTAGTAAAACCATAATAGTGTATTTGAATTGCTTAATTTTTTCTTTTTTCTGCTTGTTTCATCTATTTTCATTTATATTAGAATTGGTTTAGGTTTCCCTTTCCTTTTTTTCTATTTGTTTCATTTTCTCTTTTGTTTTTGTTTTCT